ACCACTAATTGGTCTTGAAAAAATTCATATCGGTCCATTTCAACCATAAAGCATATTTTCAGCATCTTCTTTCAATTGTTCTCCAGTGAGGGGAGAGCGTTTGCCTGAAGCAGTTACATGCGGTTGAGCATTCTGCCTTTATTGTGCTGCATCGCTGAGGCCTTTGTGTTGAAAGTCTCAGAACTTTTCAGCAGTGCTGTCAGTATCGCTCTTTTTAGGTAATCAGTCATAGAGTCACACAGTTCAGCTTGGGTTGTGAGACATTGTCAAGATATTACATAATATTATTAATACATATATAATAAATATATTGTCAATTAAATAGAATCCCACGTGATAGGAGTGCTTTTTAAGCAATTCCCCCTCAGGGATCAATAAACTATCTCTGATTATGATTCAGACTTTGTGCCAGAGAAAAACACTATATGTGCACATTCCCTTAAGCACCAACAAATCAAATGCTAAGTGCGCATGAGACCTGCGTCTGTGCCTCAAAGCAACGCAACGAACTTGTCAGAACACCTAAAAAAACCCACCTCAGACAGCAGTACGATGAATGCATGACGGCCAAGAAAAATGACAGCGCTAATGTTACATCACAAAATTTCCATCCTTGTCCAGCATCAACTCAGACACCCTGCATCAATCCTACACACTGCGCCACCATACTGCACGATGTGAAAGTGGAAGCAGATCCACTGTTCTTCTTGCTTCTGAAATAAGGTTCTTTTTTTTTTTATCCAAATGGTTTGAACACTGGTAGAAATGTAGCTCAACATGGAAGTCAAAAGCACTGCTGTGTTTATTTATTGGGGAAAGTGCAGTAAAACATATTTTGTTCCTAAAGTGAAACAATAATTTAGATAAATATCTGTGATCTCAATATTGATCAAAATAATCAGCAGCCCTAACTTCCAGTGGGAGAACGGACCATGCTACAAAAGACACGTCAACTCAAACTGGATTCGTGAACAAGACGGTGAGTTCAGTGGACTTCAGCGGCCACCCAGGCATCCAGTACAACAACTTTGGGATATGAGATAGAACAGGAGATGAATGAATCACGTCAATATGGAGGACAAACTCAAAGAAAAAAAAAAGATTCCAAGATGTTATGGAATCCATGACACCAAGAACTACTTGAGATCAAAGCTAGCCCGTATTCGTGTGCTGTAGAGTGTGCACTAAATTTCATGGCAATGCAATAGCCATTCAGGTATTTCACTTTTTGCCCAAATAAACAACCTGCTGGTGACACTCAAGGAAAAGTCAGACAAACACCAAGGTCACTAGGACTCAGAGGAATCCTGACAGCCTGAGAGTCCAAATCCATTGATATTTCAGTCATGACAAATGGTGGAAAAAGTACTGTCACTGCCAGGCCTGGAGTCACGATATTGGTGCGTCGTTTAGCAGAGCTTTCAGGCTCGGCTAGGAATGGCCACTAAAACGGCTTCATCTTTGTCTCTTAGTCAGAGAGAGTGCATCCCAAAATCCTCCAGCATGTCTCTGGTAACCATCAGTAAATCCTGGCGAAATCCCAAAGGTTGTGGCCCAGACGCTTTACAACACCCTGACATACGCTAACAATTTGCACTATTATTCACATCATTCTTTAATCACTTTTTCCTTTTAGTAGAATGACTTTTATATAAGGCTTTTATGTAATTTGCTGCATTTTACTTTTATGTAACACCTAAATACAAGCCTAGAACCTATTATTTCACAGCTACTTCATTATATGTACCTTTGCATTTGCTTTTAACGACTGAAGTTGTACCTGAACAGAAGACCTATAACACAGTCTCACACGTAGCGCTACAACCAGCAGCAGTTTACAGCCAGAGCATCGTGTCTTCTCTGCACACAGAAACCAGCTGATGAGAGGAAATAGCTGCCACACTGAGCGCTGTCACTGCAATGTTGACAGACTGCTGCCTGATATAGATGAGGCCAAACAAAAGCACAAGGCCTTTCATACTTGGCTGCTGGAACTTCTTAAAATAGAGGACCTAGTATCAATATGAAGCAACGATATTCTGGTACTGACACCCCAGGGAACGTGAGGTCACAGCACTAGCAGTACAAACACTAGAACCCGAGAACATTGTCTGCATGTTCGGTTTACTGGCAGCAGGAGCTATACCTATCTGCGACAAATGTTTGCAGAGTTAATGTCAAGCATTCTCTTCAGGGCTAAACAGTGCAGGCATGCATGTATGCACATAAACTTGTATACTTTACAACAAATGCAACAGTGAAAAGACTAGTATTCAAAAAGTGAGAGCAGGTTTCCTAACATAGAAACTTGTGTCTTTACATCCTGACCTGGCTGAGTTTACGGACTCATTGGCCTCCTAATATGTAGACAATTCCATCACTTTGTTGCAGAAATCCTTGTAAAAAAAAAAAAAACAAGTCACGTTTACTTGAAGGGATCTGAGAGGAGAATGAAAAAAAAAGCAATGCACTACGTTCACTGATGCCTTAGTGCAGTTGATCTGCTGTTAAAAATCAAATCAGACCGTGGTTGCACTGAGAAACTATTCGGTGCCAACAGCAAAGAACTGTGGCTGCATTAAAAAAACTCCTGGTGTAAGTATAGCCCCTTTCAGGCCCATTCTGTTAATCTGACAGCAACTGAACATGTCAGCCTCATTTCACACCCTGTTCACATTTCTGCAAAAGTGGCATCTGCAATTTCACTACGGTCGGACCAAGTCGGACCACGGCGCGAGCCTCGACTGCATCGTCTCATTACGGATACGCACCGAAGCAACGGTGCTTGGAGTTTATGTGAAGTGATTTAAGGAATGATTTTTCCACATTTCAGCACCAACAGTCATCCAAAAACATCACAGAGAGCGCTGAATACACAGTTTGTGTGCCATAATCACAACAAACCTTTCTCACTCACTTTGCTCTACAATTTAAAATCTATTAGGCTACAAAATAAAATGTCCATAAAAATAAACTTTTACTGTGGTGAAAACTGACACTAACAGCTTACAATAATGGCATTCACCAACAATGAGTATTTTTTCCACCACAAGACGTTAAGAGATGCTGAAGTTTTTTGCTTCCCGCTTCCAGCTGTTTAGGACTATTTCCTCTACTTTTTTTTTTTTTTAAATACCTACAGCATCTGACAGCAGCAGGATCCATGTGTGTGTCTAGAAAGAGAAAGTGTTGCATGCATTTGTGCAAGTGGGACTTTAGCGCTGCTAACTTGATAAAATTCTTACAAATGATCACTGAAAGAGAATGGAGAGCGGATCGGTCGGGGACAAACGGGTGAGCTGTCACGTACAAAGTGGCAGATTAGTTTGTAACTGTTTAGGAATATTTCGTCTATTGCAAAGCTGTAGCATCAAACAGCAGTGGGATTCACTTGTGACTCCAAGGACAGAGAGCAGCACGCAGGAACTTCATTAATTAGGTGTAATTATAAATTAGCCAGAAGTAAACTGGGCTGTTAGTGATTTAGACACTTCAATAAGCAGCTATTAGCTTAGATCTAGTCTCTCATTGCATTTTTGTTCATCGTACATGCCTTGGTGTTCTGTCTAATCCCGACCGAATGACAAAAACTACATGCATACCACCGGTTCTCTGGCACTGTGGGGAGAATTTCTGCATGAAATAATTGTCAACACACCAGAAAACACATTTGTGTTGTCAGTTTTTTCAGTTTTTATCAGTTTATCAGTATTTTTTTTTGCCACCAAGAGCTATACTAAGGCTCAGCTCTGTCCTGGGCTTCAAATTAATACTTGAACAAGCCACCATGCTACCACCGTCATCACACATTTGGACAATGTTGATGCACTAACATGGTTTGCAGCAAAATGTAACACACACAGTCTACACATGGCAGTCATCCAGAACAAACAGAAAATCCTATGATGCTACAAGCACTGCACTGCCAGTCTAAGAAAGAACAAAAACTCAGTGTGAACCAGTCTGTCGGACAGCGCAGGTCACTGAGATATTATTTTGCTGGATATGTTCAAATTTTTGATGAGCAAGTTTTTTGTGCTACTTTAGCATTGCCACGAAAACAGAGGATGTAGAAGCGCAGGCTAGCTTTTGTACAGTTAAACATTTGCATACGTTTGCACACCAGTGCAGTCTAAGGGTTAAGAGCAAGTAAAACTGATTACGGTAAAACATAATAACTAGCGGGGCAGCAAGGTGGCTCAGTGGTTAGCATCATCGCCTCGCAGCTAGAAGGTCACCGGTTCGCAGAAAGATCCCGGGTGTCTTCACCAGGATGTGTTAGAATCTGTAGCTTGGGCTGCATGGTGCCGCGGTGGTTAGCAACGTTGCCTCGCAGCAAGAAAGTCGCCGGTTTGCGTCCCGGTGAGGACACCCGGGATCTTTCTGCGTGGAGTTTGCATGTTCTCCCCGTGCAGCGTGGGTTCTCTCCGGGTTCTCTGGCTTCCTCCCACAGTCCAGAAACATGTTGAGGTTAATGGTGATTCTAAATTGTCCATAGGTGTGAATGTGAGTGTGCTTGGTTGTCTGTCTCTTAGTGTAGCCCTGTGATAGACTGGTGACCTGTCCAGGGTGTCCCCTGCCTTCACCCTGAGTCAGCTGGGATAGACTCCAGCCCCCCCGCGACCCTAGTGAGGATTGAGCTGTGTATTGATAATGGATGGATGGATAATAACTAGCTTTTTAAATATTTTGTGAGGAAATGTGACCTGCTGGTTGCCTTACTTGAATCTGTCTTGTTATATCTGTCATGATGTTTTCCTCTGGACCAAAGAGCTGACTGACAGACGGTCAGTCGTGTAACTGTAACTTACCTTGATTTTGGCAGCATTCAATCATGTGATAACTTTCTTTTAAGTTGATAGATTTGTCAATCTACATTTATTTTTCTTTACATACTTTGTGAAGTCTGCTATCAAACAAGTTGACTGAATTAGATTTATTTTTTCTTATTGTACGCTGTTGCTGCATGCCACCGATGTGACATGAAGAGAGCGTGTCACCTGTTAATGAGGGTCCCAAACAACAGCCTGATGGTCTTCTGAATGTTTTCAGTGCACAGCCAGCTCCACTGCTCCTTCATCAGCACGCACAGAATGTTCAGAGCCACTTCGGCCAGCGCTGTCTCCGATGCTGCGACCACAACATGCAAAACACACAAAAACATGCGACTCATCAGGACATACAGTAAGTGTATGTGCAAACACCAGATATTCAGAATACATTGATTCAACAGACAGAAAGCAAACGTTATGAACTGTTTCATCTGTGCGCATCCAACAGACGTGTAGATCTCATGAACACAGAAAGCGTTTCATACATTTACCAACACTGCCCTCATGTGGTGAGGCTCCGATGCTGCTGGTTGTGCTGAGTATGATCTAACATCTACCATATTTCACCTCCATCTACACCCTTTTTAAACTAAACTGGTCTTTTTGTTTGCATAAGTCATTCAATGCTACCTATGGAATACATTAAAGTGCATTCAGAGCGATGCTAGAATCAGAAAAGAGAAAACATCTTGATGGCATCGAAGCTTGAAAGACCACCAAAAACCTCCTGAACCTCTTTAGTCTTGGATGGCTGTTAAAGATATATATCTGTATTCTTTACAGACATTCAATCATTTTTCCAATCCAGCACCTACTTCCGAATTTAGGGTGATCACAGCTGCGATGCTGAGTAACTAATAAAAGTGAGAAGAGTGTTTCAGACAGCAAAGACTGGTTTCAGAGGAACCACAAAAGAGCATGAAGTAGAACAACTCAAAAGGCACCTTATCTTAAAATAACATTGAAATGTCAAATGATAGCAATGCTTTTAAAGTATTTTCAACTTTTAAACAGTCCTTGATCACATCACTGATGTGGTTGTGTCAGAAAAATTAACCAAATCTACGCTTAAAATCATTTCACTCCAATCACGTTCTCATTTAAAGCTTTCACTAAAAATTAACTGTTCCTTTTACAACAGGAGGAGTAAACACTGATAAGCCAAAACATTATGAGCATCCTTGCCTTATATGCTGTTTCATCTAATGTTCATCTAGGCCTAGGCTTCTACAAGACCTCTGAAGGTGTCCTGTGGCACAATCACATCAGCAGCAGATCTTTTAAGTCCTGGAGGTCACACGTTGGAAACCACAGATCACAGTTGTTCCAATTTTAATTAAATACGATTAACAATGTAGGTTAACACTCTTTATGTGTAAGTCATAGTCGGTCCAAGTGCTCAGACACTCAGAAGTATGACTAATGTACCGAACACACTAAATTTGGTGGCAGCCTCTTTTTACAATGAACAGTGGTGAAAAAAATGATTTAAATATTAAAATGTAGCTGTCAATTATGGCTGCTAACTAAAGGAAATGTGTTTGCACTGCTCATATTTCATCCAGCAGGTGTTCTTTTAAGTTTAGTAGTTCAATGATGGTGATGCAGTTACAGAAATTGAAAAACATACAAGCAAGATCATATTTCCGAGGGTTGCAGTCACAAAGTGCAGCTTTGGGTTAAAAAATGTCCCCTTTTGGCAGTGTGGCACCATGTTAGCATCAGTGTGAGACTTCTACACAGAAAAAAAATGCATGTGTCTAATACTGAACTGAAGACAGGTTGTAACATTTAAAATGTGCGCAACAAGCAACTGAACGCCTGATTGTGAAATTAAGACACCACTAAATACTTTGGGAAATAAAAACTGAATACACGGGGTTCCTCAAGTTTCTTTTTTTTAAATTAAAGAATAAAAATGTGCGGCTGACTAATTCAGTTAGTAGTTTCCAGGGCTTTCCAACTACTCATCTGTACTTCTGTTTTTTGGATCATGTGAGTGACGGAACTTGACCGGACTGTGCAGCTCAACTGTTTGTCCCGTGTGAACGTTTCAATGCTTCATCTTGAGAAGCCTGAATTTATGAACTGAATTTATTTCAGACCCCAAAACGAGCAAATGAATTTGATTTTCAAAAAAAAAATAAAAATTTCAACTGCTACAGTCGTCCTCAAATGTATTCATACCCTCACATTAGAGAAGGACAAACAGAGCTGTCACTGAAATAAGTTGAAATTGACAAAAGTGATAATAAATAAAACTTTCATGAAAATCATGACACTGATTTTGAATTGTGGTTCAACAGAAATATCTATAAAAAAAAAAGAACACACACACACACACCTGTTGACGGGTATTTGGATTTTGGCCCACTGCTCATCAGCAAAGTGCACTAATTTGTCCGGGACAGTTTTGTTTTGTTTTGTTTTTTTAATTATTCTTTTCAACTTCAATTCAAAAGCAACATCTTATTTCACTAAACTATAATTTAACAAATTTTTATTTATTATTACTTTTTTCAGTTTCTAGTTATTTGAGTGACGATTGTGAATTTTGCCTTTTCTTTAATGGAAGGGGATGAATACATATTCAGAAGGGATTGACTCTCTCCATGAAGTACCCGGTTGTGAAATATTTCTATGATTCAGTGTACTCAACACACAATGCACTCATTGATATTAGTCCTCCATGAAAAGACAATTTTCTGAACTAGAACTCATTCACCCTTTGTTCACCCTGACTGTCTGGAACAAAAAGGTCTAATCCTTCAAAAAGACAGTGACCAGATGCCTACGCTATGAAAGATGCAATTTGGATTCAATTAGACAGGGAATGTCTTATTCCAGCGTCGAGCACACGCAGGGATAGTTTCCATATGATGTTAATGAGATCATCCAGTTTCTGCTTTGGTGATTCCCTGTGATGGAGAAAGATGGAGCAGCGATGATGCAACAAGGTGGATGGTAGGACATTCCAGTTTAAAAAAAAGTGGGATGCAGCCAAAAGCAGCTGTGACCACTGTTTGTTTTGCTTTTTGTTGCCTCACTCTCAAGTGTGGGTGTTTGAAATAGATGCTTCCAGATTTGGAAGAACACATTATATGACTTGATTCCTTTCAAATATACTCTTCCCGAAAATGGTAACTCCACTGATTTCATGAATCCAAGTCTTTTTGTAGGTCTCAGGAGGCTACTATGACATTTGTGGGGGAAAAAAAATAATCAAGCCTTTCAGCACTCCAGAGGGAGCTGTGTAAACCAGGGAGTAAAGGTTAAAAACGACATAAGCCACAACAAACATAACACACCTGAACTCTGACAGAACCGTCAGCAGTCAAGTTGCATTATGGGTAAAGAAAAAGGTAAAAAGGAAAATATCCCTGGTTCTGCTGCATCAGTTTTAAACTTTCGTTTAACCCTCTGAACTCTAAAACTCACAGGTTGGTTTGAAAGAAATAAACAAAACATAACATAACATCAGATTTTTAACCTTTCTAAAGTCCTGGAACTAATCATGTGTGACTGACCAGCTGGGCAATTACCTGAATCAGAATGTGAAGTTGTTATATTTGTCAGTACTAGCATAATTTCTTAATACTTTTTATTCTAATCAAGACATCACATTTAATTATTCAAACTGATTCATTTACCAAAAATAATCCATCTGCACCAGATACTGGAAAAAAAAAAAAATAAAGGATTCTGTTGTCTTCAGTGAAAATGAGAAGCCATGAGTGAGTCACCTGTGACCAACAGTCATGTGACAAAATTTTTGAGATTTTTTTCAGCTGACCTTCAGGTTGTGTTAAACATATCGACAGAAGTCCGGAGACGAATGAAAAATGTAAATATTTAAATATCTATTGTATGTAGTACCAACATTTTCACGATTAGTGACAAGCCCAACAGAGGATGTATTTCCTGCACAGCTGAAGTAGTTCAGGCTGCCAACAAAGATGATGGTGCACTTCTACACCTCCATCATCGAGTCCATCCTCACCTCCTCCATCACCATTTGGTACGCTGCAGCGACGGCCAAGGACAAGGCCAGACTGCAGCGCATCATCTGCTCGGGGAGCACGCCTCCAGGACTCTGAGGCGTGCAGGTTAGATTGTGGCCGACCCCTGGATACAAACTCTCTCAATCACTCCCCTATGGCAGGAGGCTTCAGTCCATCAGGACCAGAACCTCACACCACAAGAACAGTTTTTTCCATCTGCCACCGGCCTCATGAACAAGGCACAGGACCCCCACTGACCCCCGGCCCGTCTATGGACAGCATACGTTACATTAACGTGTTACATCTCTCTTTGCTCACCATCCCACTATCCTCACTGTTACTGGTCATGTTGCACCTCCACACTCTTGTAAATCCTTGTAAATAACCACAGTTCTATGGTTCTTATTTAAACTTAATTCTTCACTGCACAATATCTTTTGCTTCTGCTTTGCACTACTACAGCTATTTTTATTTACTTTTATCTTTTAGCTATTTGTATATTTTTATCTTGTACATCGTTCCTCACTGTGTATATTTATTGTTGCACCAACCCACCAGAACAAACTCCTCGTATTGTGCAAACTACACCTGGCAATAAATCTGATTCTGATTTCAGATTTTTTTTTATTTTTTTTTTATCTGAGGGCAGTTGGGAAAATATTGCACATGTTGATTCCAAGTTTTTTTCAGTTTTTGTAAAATAAATAATAAAGAAATTCAGCTTTCCTTTTTCTTTTTTTTTTTTTAATGATTTATGGAATTATAATTTAATCTTATAACAGAAGACATTTCTAAGTTCTCTGTACTTCTAGCCATGGTTGCTCTGTTCCCTTAGAAGTGCAGTGAAAAACGAGTCCACAGCGAGTGAAACAGTGACGGAAGAAACAAACATCCAGAAGTTGCTTAGGGTTCAGAGGACTAAACTATCAAAAACTGTATGTGATAATATAATAGGAGAGCAATGCTAAACTGCAAGAACAACAATAAAATAGAAAATGTCAAAGGAACATTCCCGCCATGTGGTGCCAGTGTCATAGAAACCCCCTGTTGCCTGCTGCAGTTCAGTGGCAGGCCTGTGGGATACACTGGAATGCCAAACAGGAACTCCCACACACCAGCCTGGGCAGTCAGCACACGTCCCTCCTTGAGAACAAAGGTAGTACTAGACAAGGGTTTCTGTTTTTCTGGTCATTAAGGATAAGTGCATTTAGGGTAGTGAATTCACATTTAACTCACATTCACCTCAACTCTTCTGTCTGCTTGTTACAGACTGCTGTCAACAGCCACAACAGAGAAACAACAAAGAATTAAATTCCAAAAGTGACAAAGTTTCACTTTCAATTCTTGCATGGCTTCCTCACTATCTCTTAGTTTTATCTTTTCAATTACGGCAGCGTGCCAGTGTTAGCCAAAACACAAACACAGAGTCTGAAGAATGAGACGAGTGACTGTACGACAGCACAAGCAGGCTTCAGTGCGACGGCCTCGCTGTAAACATGGTGAGATACTGAATGGAAAGTGGGAGTGAGTCAGTGAGCTGGTCAGACATGAAGGAAAACGAAAGCAGACAAGTCAGAGTGAGTAAGACAAACAGACGCACTGGTTGCAGAGATAATGATGAAAGACTGGGAGGCTCAAGTTCAACACTGGAAGTCAGGTTTTGCATTTAAGATTTATCTATCTAGTCATAGTGCCAGTTCTTTTTGAATACAAGCCAACACGAGTATGATAATTCCAGTAGTCTAAACAGAAACTGTTGCACAAAGCTGATAGGACGCCATCGAGAACCGAAACATTTCAGAAATGGCCCTCTGTTTACCAACAACTCTCCTGCAAGTGATGCTGTGTTAGCAGTCGGGTGATTGCGAGTGGTGATGATGCCAGTTTAATTTTAATTCATATAATTCAAAGTTGTTCCTTGAAAGCTGTGGAACAACCTGGACATCACTCTGAAAATGTGCCATAACATAAATACATTTAAATGTCACTATAGACAAGTGTTATCAGGGTTATATTAATAATATAGTGAAATATTATACACACCTTTCTGTTGGTTTTCTTATTTATTATTAATACATGTCGCATTTATACGTATATACTGTACATAACGGTCGTACATGTGGGTTGAGAACTGTGCACATAGATGCTGTCGGTCATTTATTTTAGGTGGAAATTGTATAACGATTTGGGATGAGGTTACAGGGATGTTTTGTGGCATTGCTTTCATGATGAGCATCTTGGGTGAATATGCATAAATTGTTCTCGGTCTTGGTTTTTCGTTTTTTGGTGTATTTGTTCTTTTGTTTATTAGTTTGTTCAAGAAGGGACAGAACTAGATAAGCTTTTGCTTCATTCCGTTCCTTCTCAAACTAGATATACGTTGACGTATGCATGTATGTGCATTATTATGTTTATATCAGATCTTTTTTGTTTAGTTTTTTTTCCTTTCTCTTTTAATGAGGATTCTACTTGAATTCTCAGTAATGTTTATGTATTATACATGCATTGCTTATTCTTTATTTTTTTATATATATAAATGTAGTTTGAGATAAATAAACTAAACTTTTTAAACTTACATGAAGCTTTAAGAGATGTACCAACAAAGCAACCTGACATCAGTCAAAATGAATACAGTGCTACAGCTGAAGTCCTTCCTTACCGTGTTGCCGACTCGGCTTTCCCCCCAAGTTGTCATCCAGACAGCCTCCGAATTCTCCCAATACTGGACTGCCCTCCTTCTCCAGCTCAGCTCTGATGGACTCTACCTCCTGCTCAGCGACAAAGGCTTGCAGATCTTTCAAAGACATCCCCTTAAACACCTGTGGAAGCACAGAGCAGGACAGGTAGTTGAGGAAAAAACATTTTCAACAAGTTTGTAAAAATTGGCAAATAAATTAAAAAAGGTGTATTTTTATGACCAAGTGTGATGTGAGTTACTTACTGTGCTAGTTTGGTCCCAGCTGAACAAAACTGGTGCCCTTATGTCTGAACCATTCATAAAGGGGATGTTTTTACTGGAGAACTTCAGACGAGACCTGAGGTCACACAAACAAATGAACATGCATACACACTGAAAATCTAAATCGACTGTGGCAATCATAACTGTGAAATAATTACACAAACATTGGGACTGCGTGAGTTGGATTTCACACTGCAACAAGTCCTAGCCTCCTCCATGCGACTCATGATCCCTCATTGGCTTCCCACTCACAGACTCGACCAGTATTTGAGTTCATTGTGGAGCTTTAAAATTACACTGTTAAGTCCACCTGGAGGAGAAGTCTCACTGAGATCTTAATAACAATGTAGGATAAGGACGAACACCGCCATCAACCGCACAACTGGGCAAACTCCATTTGTTGGTCAAGATTACGTAACATGTCCGTGTCTCCAGAGGAGCTACTAAGTGGATTTGAGGCAGGACTGCTTTGTCAGCATACCTACTAAGTACAGTTGTGTTATCAACTTCCTACGCAGTATAATGCATGAAATATGAATATCTACAACTCCACAACTTCTTGGTAAACTATAACTGCTGGCAGAAATCATTTCATGTGATTCAAGGCTAAAAACATTGACCAAATGGAAGTCAAGCTATTTTCACTACCACCATCACTAAAAACTACAAAACCCTTGTTTATTTGGCAGTGGACAGCCAGCACAGTTTTTACAATGCAGTTTTGCAGAGTACTGTAGGGGAATGTGTCCATATAGAGTTGTAAAAGCGCTTGGGTTTTGTGTCACCATTCTAACCATTGTTACATAATAGACTAACATTGCCCCTAAATGTGATCATCACAGCTCAAGACAGGCACAGCCAGAACCAGCTTCCTGACCAATTTTTTTAGTCACCAGGATGACTAGCTGCCTGAACACGAGCGACTGTGACGACACGCGTCTCTCTAAAAAGTCCATATTTTTAACTAGGAGCGCTTGGAGCAGCTGCACGTTTTTTTTTTCTGGGCAGGCAGCTGAATGAGGCCACATACATTCTCCTCTCTTTGGGAACAACCGAAAAATGACAGTGACACTGAAAAATGCTATATGGACCTTGAGCCCCAAGCTAAATATTTGCTTTACCTATTTTTTTATTTTTTTTTGTCTAAAATATTTCACTCGACATAAGACATAGTGAAAAACTTTTCACAGTGAACAACCGTCTTCTTTTAAAGTATGAGATGGCAGTAAGAAAGCTTGGATACACATCATACTTGCTCTTCTTGTCTGTAGGTACTTTTCCTCCATCCACCTCTGATTCATTGTCCTCTGTAGGGCTCTGAGGTTCTGAACGAGGAAACGCTGTCTTCAGGGTGTCCACAATGGCATTCACCACAATCTACACATGCAAACACACAAGCACTGCATTATAAACTAACTATAGACCCAAACATTTATAGGCATACCATTCTTCAACATAATGATCACAACCAAAAAAAAGTTAGGTCTTGTGCTCACAACACTGCACTGCAGTCTGACGACACAAGGTGACGTAACTGCTCCTGTTGTGCAGCAGATGTGAACATTGACTACTCACAAGATTTGGCTCACTGTGGCTTATTTCCCTTCCCCAAAATCAAATTCTAGTTAAATCGACACAGTGATTCATCATCCATTGACAAATGGTGCTTTTCATGTTGTAATGGAAAAATACTGCATCTGCATGAAGAATGTTAAAGCAAGTTTCTCTAAGTTTCTCTAAGTTTCATTAAAGCTGAGTGGAAAGGTTACAGGCCCAAAATGTGTTCCCAAGAAGAAGTTGTGCATCCCATGTGTTTAGACTTTTGATGCCTGATCCAGCATGTTTAGTCTTCTAATGTCTGTGGATGAGTCCACCCTGTACACCCAGCTGTTGTTTTCCAGCATGGGATTGTTATACTATCGTTGAAGTAAAGACCACGCCTGTACATGTATAAGAATACTATGCTGCCTGCATTCATGTGTACTCTCCTGCTGACTGCTTGCATTCTGTATGACCTGTACCTTCAAAGCTTTGAATAAAACGAGACAAAGAAAACTCGGACTACTGGACTTTATGTAGATCATAGAAAATTTCCTCAACAATGTCTGCAGAAAGGAATTTCCAGGAAGCGTTCCAAACATGGCAGGAGCACTGGGAGCAGCGTACTGGTGCACAACGAGAATCCTTCAAATGTTATGGTGACCGATTTTAAATCAAGTAGGTTTTTTTGCTTTCTATAAACAGAGTCACGGAATTTTTTGATTACACATCGTGGTAATTACTATGCACAATGCACTTTTTAAAGTCAAGCATGATTCAGTTGTATCGTAATAAAATATTCAGGAGCAAACCTTGTCTATGCGTGACACAATGAAAGGCTTCTTGACAAAGGCGATCCTGGCGTCTGTATTGAGAGCGAGGAACTCCTGCATCTCTTCACTGTTGGCTATTTCAGGGATGGCACACAGTTGCTGAAAAGATCAAAACAGAAGAAACCAAAAACAACCCAAAATGTTACACTGGGCCAACAAATACAAAATCAATTTAAATCAAGAACAAAACAGTCCACCAACTTTTAGAAAGGTCTCAAGGAGTCCTTTCCTCGCCTCGATCTTGTCACTGTCCATGTTTCCAAATGGCATGTCTGGAAATACTTTCTTTGGACCTTTCACACCTGAAACACAGTCAGAATAGTCAGGATCAACATAAATCAGTTTAGATTTCCAAGATTTCTACCACAAATCTTGGCCAGATTGTAGGTCACACATAGATTTCTAAGACAGTCATACATTTTCACACACTGGAAGCTCCAAATAGTTACACAGAATCTAAAATGTTAAGTTAAACATTGACATAACTTAGACAAAAACGTGGCGAGCTGATTGCGACCGTACCTTTGATAAGTTTCCGTAGTTCCGTTTTTTCTTCTAGCCGTGTTTGCAGGTTGAGGAATTCACTGTATCGTCTGTTGACCATGTGATAGGCTACAGGCTGAACGGACGATGGATTCTCACAACCTGTCTGTAAGGCTTCAGCATCCTCAGAGCCTGGCTGGATGCTTCCTGGGTTTTCACAACCCATTGCTGTCTCATACTGGAAAACAGCACAACTTGTTAGGGCATGCATATCTTACTGATCTCCAAAGTAAACTACTGCTGTGAGGAACATGCTGCAGTTTGTAAAACGTCTTAGTGCCCTAAGGCAAGATGATAACTTTGTGTGCCCATTGCCACCTAGTATATTATTGCTAATATTCACTGTCGGACTAAGATGTCAACATTCACAGAATTGTTATATGGATGATATTTTCCTTCTCAATTTTCTTTTCTTTCTACAGCTCTCCTCCTGAAGTAGATTTAAACACCAATCTCTCAAGTAAAAGTCCTTCATCTAACCGATTGCACCACCCTCTTCTGCTCTCACTGCCATTTTTTTGCCATTCATACTGTCTCATCTAATCAGTGACAAGCCCCATAATTGGCTAAAAACTTCTGTCACTCTCTAGATTTTAAAAAGTCTAAAAACAGAGCCACTTGTATCTGTAATTTTGAAAGTGGTCCCGTTGTATCTTCAGCCTAGTCCCACTAAAAGTGCACACCATCAGTCAACTTGATTCCAAAGTTTACAAGGCCACATGAAACAAATAATGACAAACAAACAGAGAAAAGACAAACACATATAGAATATGTAATCTCCTTACTTTGATGGTGTAAAGAGTGTAGGGGTGTGAGCCAGTGCCTCGATGTTCCTTCGCTGTGATGGTGCCAGTGATGCGGAGGTTCTGAATGATAACTGGACCTTCAGGGCTGCTGAGGGGCTCAAAGCTGAATGTCCCCATGGGAGAACAGCCCTGCTGTGGACTGCCGACAGTGAGCTCATTGGGATTCCCCATCCCAGTCTGTTCTACACCCAGAAGAAGCTCTCTGTTTGGGTTTACTGCAAGGGAACTGCCTTCTCTCTCCAGCTCCTGGAGGCTGCTGATTGTGGGAGCACCCTCTGTTGTCCTAACTGATAAGGGACCAGTGCCATTAGGATGCTCCACTGAATCTGAATTCAACAGGACTTTAGGCAAGGAGCCGTCCACTGGACTGGGGCAAACATCCTCCAAGTCCACCGCACTCTCAACAAATGTTCCACATTCTTTCTGTCTATCAAACAGACTCTCCTCTTGACCAACCATGACCAAGGAATCAGTGGAACCCTGTTTATAATCAGCCAATGGAGAATCCAAGTCAGAGTCATTTTCCTGGTAGAATGGATTTGACTTGCTTCCTCTCATGTAACGCCTTAAAAAGGGTTGACTAGTTTCATCTTCTTCCATGTTATTGTGAGGAAAGTCCACCTCATCTGAGTCAACCACATCAAATGCAGCGAGCTCAGGCATGGCTGTCTCTGTGTGACTGATCATTTCAGTCTCTGTTCTTTGTGGAGGAGCCTCAGTATTCTTCTGAGGTGCGTGTGTCGTCTGTTGTAGCAGAGCACGCTCGGATTCAGCAGGCAGAGCTGGTAGCGGTGGGGATGAACTCAGTGGCTCTGTTGCTATTGTCTCCTGCAGTTTGCTGGAGTTGCTGAATATTTCTATCATGAGGAGGTTCAACCAGTCAGGGTCCGACAGCTTATCAACAAGAGGGAGCAGGACATTGCAGGTTATGAGCTCTCCGACAACGAATCGACCGGTGCGGGTTTCCAGGTGAGGCGACGGCACCAACACGTGCAGCAACAAATCTACAACTGCTCTGACGTAGTTGACTTCCACCGTGTCACTGGTCATGGCAAAGTGGGGTTTGGTAACACTGGAATATGCTTTCCACAACTGCTCACTGTCATTGCTCCGATTAGCAGTCAAAGACTTCTGCTGCTCAGTCACCAGCTCTTTGGCTCTGATGTAGTCCTGCAGGTGGCAGCCAAACAGGTCTAGGATCCTCTGGGTCAGTTCCTGCAGGAATTCAAAAAGCAATCCCAATGAAGATTACTTGTGGTTTTCAAAATTTAAATGTGAATTCACACCTTTATTTAAATATCACTGGGTCATTCCACCTCAACTCATCCAATTTCTTGAATAACAAAATAAGACAGTTTGAAAGGGAAAAATAAGTCAGGCTGAAATCCTTAAAGATCATAAAACTGTGATGAGCGTAAAGACCAGTAAAGACCCTGAATGCCTGATGTTTTTGAATGACTTATTAACACCCATAACTAATTACAGCTATACATGAAATTAAATTATCCATCACTGAGATTTTAACACTGACTGTAAGAGCCACAATGTTGTTTTTGAGTATTGACCACTGGGTTAATAGTTTGTTTTATTTAGTGGCTCGGTGGTTAGCACCATTGCCTCATAGCTAGAAGGTCGCCGGTTCGTATCCCGGTGAGGACACCTGGGATCTTTCTGCGTGGAGTTTGCATGTTCTTCCCGTGCATTGTGTGTTCTCTCTGGGTTCTCCTGCTTCCTCCCACACAGTCCAAAACCATGTTGAGGTTAATTGGTGATTCTAAATTGTCCGTAGGTGTGAATGTGAGTGTGCTTGGTTGTCTGTCTCTAAGTGTAGCCCTGTGATAGACTGGTGACCTGTCCAGGGTGTCCCCTGCCTTCACCCTGAGTCAGCTGGGATAGACTCCAGCGACTCTAGTGAGGATTAAGTGGTGTAGAGACAATGGATGGATGAACATTTTAAAAATTGGTATCATAAGTATAATGCAAACACGCTATAAACCTTGTGAAAACTTTGATATCTTAGAAACGTAGTACCTTTCTGTCGACATGTCTTGCGCGCAGTTTCAGCTCCATTGCCATAGAGACCATGGCCTCCTGAACCTCTGTTTCAAAGCCACTCTCAGACGACACAGTGGAGTACCACGAAGTGACAAAGTCCCTGATGATTTTCCTCACTGTGTTGTGAATCTCATGATCCAAGTGACGCTCATCCTCTGCAGATGGTGGGACCTGAAATTGAGCACATTTCACTATTTAATCATCTTTATTAGCATGAATGTCTAAGAATTAAGGATGATGTAATATTTAAAATAGAAAAATATAAACTTTGTTAAGTAGAATAAATACATTTCATATGTCATCAGATTTTCTTTTCTAATAATGTCATGAAATAAAAACTGAAACTAACATTGGGGTTGTAAACTACGTTTAACTGTACATTTACCTGCTCCAGGCTGATAAACCTCTCCAGGTGAATCACACTGTTGGACTCCAAGACGGCTTGCGAACCGAGCCAGCCACCAAGCACCACCAGCAAGCTGGTGAACATGCACAGCAGCCAGATGTTGACCAGCAGGTGAAACAGCACTAGCCATGCCAGCACCACACCAAAGCCCAACAAGCTCCTCTGTCCCAACACCTCAGCCATGGCACACACCGGTTACTGTCTTCACACTGTCAAGGAGAGACGAGGAGATCACGCATGCCAGAGTAGCGTCACACCTTGAAAAGCAAAACCAGTGGAGAATACAGATTTAATATAACTTTCAAACCAGACTGCGAACCCTCACTAAGTGTGAGTATGTGATCAGTATGAAGTATAGAGGATGGATGCACGCACGGATCAGCTGGCATGGGGGAGACCAGTGGAGAAATAAACAGTCATCTTCTCCTCCTACTCTTTAGTCAGTTTCCCAGACACCCACTAAACCCAGCCCGAGACTAAAAGATCAATTAAATGAACTCGGCACTAAAATACGTTTTAGTCTAGAACTAGACTTAGTTTGATGTTTTGGAAACTGAGCCTGAAACTGTCTCTGTCATACAGGATTTTGCCTTAAGTCCCAAGAGCCAACCCCTACTTTCTATGTATTTAGGAATATACAACATAAACACAATATTCACCGTAATGATAACGTATAAAATAGATTTTAAACAGCACTTGTACATAGAAATGTGATTGTTAAAGGCTGCTTACTTTTACAGTAACTGCAGCAGCTGCTCTAAAATGATGTCTCATTTGAATCTCGTGGACACCATTTGCAAATCCACAGCATATTCATGCTAGCAGCTGCTAGTTTTCACGATGCTTCGCTAGTAAACACGCTTGACTATCTAGCCAGCCGGTGTTTATTCATGATTACAGTAAATAATTTGTTTTCACTGGTCCTTATAACCTCCACCAGCAGGCTGCAGAGTGAACCGCCGGGCAACCGAACGCTACATACCGTTATTTTTCCTGGCGAGAAAACGTCACGCCAAAGTCCTTTCAGAAATTGACAATTTACTGTTTATTTGTTGCCTGACCGGTATATGTCCAACAAACACGGTTCTAAATACACACTGACAGCATAGAAAGCAACACTTAAGGATTCGGCATACAAATTAGGCGACCTGGAACCCATAGCCTTAACATAATTAGTATTTTATGTTTAGGCTGCAAGACTTCCTCAGCCACCACCCTCCACGGTCAGTTAGTAATGGAAGCTGGATGTGACAGACGGAGGGAAAGTATTGGACACATCTTTTGTTTCTTGACGTGTAACACATATGCCGAAATGAAGACAAGTTGCTGGTGATTTACAAGAGGTCTGCAACTACGTTCTGCGAGATGTGGTCATTTGTCGAAACGCGTACCAACCTCTCACTGCTAAGTTGTTGGCTAGTGGTACGTAGCGTTACGCAGGGAGCCAAAGAATGAGGGGCTCTGAGGCTTGAACTGAGGCTACGACTTCAGGGGTGGAGTGGCAACATGTCGTAGGTACATTTAATCAAAGAACTGAGCTAATACAAAGAGAAAAGACACACTGTCACCTGTACGAGCTGTCATGGCTCTCTGTGGGAGGTCTCGTGAGCGTCTGGACGGCTGTTCCGTCTGCTTTGTTTACTTCCTGCATGATGACGTAAGTCGAGATGACGCAGCCTCCTCATGGCGCGCGGCACCGCCGAGCGCGGAGACAATCGGCCACATAATATACTACAATAAAGACATAAAGTAATTACATCATGTTTGAGATGAGATAAAACACTACATTGTTTGCCTCTAATAATTACACCTCTCGTTTTCCAGCTGCTAAGGCTCATGGGATATATTTTTTTCATGCATTATTAATTTTTGAGATTTGGTTCCATGACATGTCCATACCAGACCACTGGAAAGAAACCATCCAAAACACAGCATATTTAACTAAGCTGCGTCTATTTGCGCAAATTAGCACTTATTTAATGAGACAATGCCTCATTTCATATTTAACCAAAAAGAAAAAAAACTTTCTGGAAACTTTGTTGTAATCAATCAACTGGGAAGGCTTCATGGTGATATCCATTACTTGAAATGTTTACCTTTAAATAGTTTCCACCAAAAATGTTTTCCCTATTCTTCATGTAGATCTACTTCAGTTGCACTTAAACACACCAAACGTTCTAGTTTTATTCCAATATTTTGAAGCTTTTACAAAAGGGTTTGTTCATATGTCATTCAGCACCTGATTGATAGAATGTTTTATTCATAAAAAGATAACAATGTTTGACTATTTGGGAAGGCTATTTACAGTATTTTCTGATTTACTGAGTGATACATGTGCAAAGACACATCCAAGTTCCCCTTTTTAAAATCCTTGTCTCTAATATGCCGGCAAAGTAAAACAAGAATTTTAAAGCTGCCTTCCTCCAGTGTTCAGATCTCTGCTTTGGAAATCATGCAAATTATGGCACATCTAGACATAATACTTTATTTGCATATTTAAACATAACATTTCCAAAAACTGAAAATGCAAAAAAATCATTCCTATTGCAAATGAACAACTGTTCTATGGTGATATCTATTA